AAAAAACGATTATACCGCCGATACAACAGTTGACACTGTTCAATGCACCGAGGCTATGGTCCTTAAAGAACTACCGTGGTTAAGGGAATCTAAGTCACCGGGTTCCGATGAAATACTGGCCAAGATGCTGGAAGAACTCGCCAATGAGTTGGTAAGACTATTTTGTGCGCTTTTCCAGACATTCTTCGGGACGGGATGTCTACCAACCGGCTGGAAATCCGTGTGGATTTCACTGCTCTATGAGGGTGGAAGCGAGGTCTCCGCAAATAATTATCGTCTTGTCAGCCTTACTGCAATTTGCTGAAAAGTTATCGAAAAATAATTAAACAACAACTAATGCACTTCCTATAACAGAAGCATCTGCTTTCCACTGTCCAGCACGGCTTTCGTATAGGTGGGTCCTGTGTGATTAATTTGCTCTACTGCTTAGAATGTTGGACTGAAGCAGTCGAAAGAGGGCACACGGTGCACGCTGTATACATTGACTTCGAAAAGGCCTTCGATAGCGTGCCACACCATCGCCTTCTTTTTAAACGCAGCCGCATAGGAGTAAGAGACAGGCTTCTGGCCTGGAAAGAAACCTTTTTAATCAGCCGCGCGCGAATTGTCCATATCAGCGACAAGCAGTCGGCAAAGGTTGCAGTTGAGCGTGATGTCACCCAAGACTCCGTTCACGGCCCCATTTTGTCCATTGTCTACATCAACGGTTGCGTAAGCCAACTGGATTTCGATATTGCCATGTTCACCGATGATACCGAGCTCTGGCGCGTCATTCGAACTGCGGCTGACGAAGAGAGCTTGAAAAAAAATCTGAATCGGCTGGAAAGATGGTCAAAGTACTGGCTCTTACCGTCTAATGAGAGCAAGTGCAACATCATTCGAGTCCGCAAATCTAGCTCTTCGAACCGTGCAGTTTATCGGCTAAGTTGCTTACCACTGAAAGATGTAGAAGACCAGAAAGACTACGGAGTTTGGACCACGCTCTCGCTTAAGCCATCCCTGCATTGCGCAAAGGCAGCCAAGTCTGTGAAGGTGGTTCTATACCTCGTCAACCGAGCTTATTCTGCCTTAAATGACGACTGCTTCACAAACGTCTTTCGAACTTTCGTACGGCCACATCTGGAATCCTATATCCATGCTTGGAGACCCTGGGCCGCAAAAGACATCAATATCCTCGAAAACGTTTAAAGGCGCGCAACCAAACTTGTTATTTGGCAGGGGTTAAAGAGTTATGAAACACGGCTGTCAAATCTATACCTCTTTCCCTCGCGCTATAGACAGCTTCGGGGGGACCTGATACTAACCTTCCGCATATTACGTGTTCGCGACTGTTGTCTTGTATCAGGAGATTTCTTCGAGTTAGCAACAACAACTAATTCGAGAGGACATCCTCTCAAATTGCGAGTGACTGGGGCCAGGCTGGACGCTCGGAAGCACTTCTTCTCCGAAAGGGTGGTGGAAGATTGGAATAAGCTTCCTCTGGATGTCGTGATGTCGGAATTATTCGAGGTATGTGGGCGAAAGTTGAATTGATATAGCAAGGCGCGCTATAATAAGTACTGGCAATTATATTTTAGTAGTATTAGTTTATGGCATAACGTTTGGGGGG